TTTTTTTGGGGGGGGGGCGGGTACTGGGAATCGAACTCAGGACCTTGTACTTGCCAGGCAGGTGCTTATTCCACTGAGCTATATCCTTGGCTACAACCCATGAACTCTTTAAAAAGATTTATCTAGGTGGGGTGGCACATGCCTGTAATCCCAGCACTTGGGAGGCTGACGCAGGAGAACCAAATTCAAGGCCAACCTGAACTACACAGTGAGTTCAAGGCCAGCCTAAACTACACAGGAGAACCTGTCCCAAAAACACCAAAAACATTTAACATTGGGGACCATTAACAAATTTCCGATATTATCTCGGACTAATCCCAGTGTTCATCAGTAAGAGACCAGTTAAATCACTGTGAGCTCCAGGCCAGCCTGGGCTTCATAGTGAGTTTAAAACCAGCCTGTATAAGCCCAGCGTGGTGGTGCATGCCTGTAATCCCAGCACTGGGGAGGCTGAGGCAGGAGGATCGTTGGAAGTTCAATGCCAGCCTGAGCTACAAAGTGAGCTCAAGGCCAGCCTGAAGTACAAAGGCAGACCCTGTCTCAAAAAGAACACCCTCCACATACAAAAAAGAAAAAACACCAGCCTGAATTACAAAGCTGGACCCTGTCTCAACAAAAGCAAAACAAAACAAAAACAAACAATCCAACCAAGCAAACAAAAAGATCCCACTAAATTGCCTCAACTGATCTCAAACTTCTTTCTTTTTTGGTCTTTTTGAGGCAGGGTCTCACTATGCAGTTGAGGCTGGCCTTGAACTTGCAACGATCCTCATGCCTCAGCCTTCTGAGTGCTGGGACTACAGGCGTGCACCACCACGCCCGGCTTGGACTCAAACTTTTTTGATCGTCTGCCTCAGCTTCTGGAGTAGCTAGGATCATAATGTGCATCTGCATGCCTACCCACAGCCCACTTTTTTTTTTTTGTTTAATGAACTTACTACAGACAAAGAAATGAACTTTTTAAATTCCAGAGATGAAGAACAAGGATTCCAACCAGATAAGGTGGTATCACAGGGAATGTGATGTCACGAGGAGCGTGGAGATAGGAGCCAGATGCTAATGTGGACAGTATGGAAAAGACAGCAGCCACTGAAAACCACAAGCCAGAGGACAGAGAAAATGAATGCTCTGTATTAGATCAAATATTCTTTCTAGCCGGGTGTGGTGGCGCACAAGCCTGTAATCCCAGGAGGATCTCTGTGGGTTCAGTTTAAGGCCAGCCTGAGCTACAGTGAGTCCAAAACTGACCTGAACTACAAAAGACCTTGTCTCAAAACAATAAATAAAAAATAATAATAATAATAATAATAATAATTTTTTAAAACTTTTTCCTACCAAGTAGTAGAAAAGACTTGGGAGTGTTTGATGGGAAAGAAAGAGCAAGTAGTGCAGAGCAGAAAGAAAGAGAGGGAAAATGTAACATGTACTGTGCCAGACCCTAGCCTTGGTCCTTTAACTACACCTGAGAACACAGGCAGAGGTGACTGAGACTTGGGGAGGAGCCTTCCTCCACACAAAGCGCAAGGGTAAGGGCAAGGAACAAGCGTGGCAAACTCGAGTGCCCACAGGCACCAGGCCAGAAGGCAAATGAGTGAAGCCGGCTTGACACAGCCCAGCCCACCCACAGGGGCAGTAACTGCTCGTAGCCAGTGACCCTCGCCAGGACTCATTTTTAAATCAAGGGTATTATTTTTTATAATCTACAGTATCTAAACTAAGAAAGTTTCTTGGTAGACACCACAGGATTCACGTTAACATTCCAACAGAGGACCAAAAGATGTCACATGACCCTCAGGTGGCACTCAGGACACAGCACTTCCCTACCACCCCAGCTTCCTTTGGGGGAGGGGAAAATTGCTAGGAAGGAAATTACAATTGCTAAAATGGTTAAAATTTAAAATGCATGTCACATTAGATATTTGAGTGTATCCATGTTAAATTTCCCAAATATGACAATTATACAAAATGTTGATTTTTTAAACGAAACGTCCTGGACAATTTGTTCCGGACCCCTTCTGTTTCTCCTATTCCCCAATAAATTTTTTACTCTTAAAAAATGTTCTTGGGGCTAGGGATCTAGCTCAGCGGCACAAGTGCCTGCCTGGCAAGTGCAAGGTCCAGAATTCGATTCCCAGCACGATTAAAAAAAAATGATCTTAAGATATACACTAATGTATTTAGGGGCAAAGGGTCACGGACTCTAACTTATGCCAAATGGTTCGGTAGAAAGTGTGTATACTGTGTACAGAATGCAGCTAAGCAAATACGGCAAACTATTAATTTGTGAATCTAGATGAAGAAGAGCACGTGGGAGTTCACTGTACTGATCCTGTAATTTTTCTATTAATTTGATTTTACCCCCATTAAAAATAAAGGTTATTCTTACCACAGACTTGGTATCCGTGCTATGAGATAATTTGCAGTGTTCCACAAGTCCTTCCTGATCAAAGTTCTTCTCAGGACAGTAAGGACAAGGAAAGGTGTAACGGTTTGGGACGTTCCTGGAAGACGCAAAGCAGGAGAAAAAAGACTTCTCTGTGACCACCTCCAGGCAATTTCAATCGTGCCCTCGGACTGGAGCGTGACAAGGGTTCTCATCATTGTGATAGAACCAGGCCATGTGTTTTGGAAAACAACAGCGCTGCTAACACCCTACGTAGCATCACAGGGCCCCGCCTGCCAAGATACCTGTACCACCTTCTCCCAGCATCTCTACCTCCACCTTCCCAAATCCACACACCCAAACCCTCAGGAGCACGTGGTGCCCAATACCTTTGTAGCAGGAAATGAACTTCAGGAAGAGGGTGACTGAGTCACTTACCTTGGCTGAAGAGATGCGTCCTTTGTGGTGGCCTTCACACCTTCCATGATGTAATTCTGGTATTTGGAGCAGGTGGCCACATGGGCCCGGATCTTAGATAGGAAGAACTTAAAAAGGAAGAATCAGAACCCACAAGTGAGTGAAAATCTTTTCCCAGGCAAAAAGTCCTAAAGCAAGGGCAATCTACATCACCTTGGTGAACAATCTCACCATATTCCTAACACACCAATGGGGAGAGACCCTGGCCACTGTACACTTTTCATTAATAGCAAGGCTGACACTCTACTCAGCCAAATCACATTTACTTCCATTGTAAAATAACTCCTAGAGGCCTGCTTTGCTCATGCTATGCACTCTGCTTATAGGCTTGCGTCCTGCATTTAGACTAGTTGTCTTCCAGCAAGCCAAGAGCTACACTCCACCACATCCAGCACTGAAAACTGAGCAGTGAGGTAAAAGGGACACAGGTTAGTAACCCTGACTGCAGTATAAATTACCAGGTTAGGATAAATAAAGCGGGGAAGGACTGGAGAGATTGAACCCAGGGCCTCAAACATGCTAGTCAAAGGTTCTACCACTGAGCTACATCCCCAGCCTTTCAGAACTTTTATCTTGAGATAGAAAATTTTACCTTGAGACAGAGCCTCACTAAGTTACCCAGGCCAACCCTGAATTCGCCACCTTTCTCAACCTCCCGAGTAAATGGGATTACAGGTGTGTACTACTATGCAAGTCTTGATAAATGATCCTTTTTTTTGGTCTTTTTGAGATAAGATTTCACTATGCAGTTCAGGCTGGCCTTGAACTCAAGACCATCCTCCTGCCTCAGCCTCCCAAGTGCTGGGATTACATGTGTGTGCCACCATGCCTGGCTTGATAAATCATCTTAAAACAACTGAAATCTGAATTAGTTCATATAAAATCTAGGATATGCAACAGTAAGATAGAGAAAAAAACAGGAGAGTGCATCACCACAGGTGTTCTCGCTCTGTTTTTTGCAGTGCTGGTCTGAACTTAGGGCCTTCATACTGAGCTATATTCCTTACCCCACTTTTATTTTTCAAGACAGGATCTTGCTAAGTTGCCCAGGCTGGGCTCAAACTTGTGATCTCCTTGCCTCAGCCTCCCAAAATTCTGCGATTACAAGTGTGCAGTGTACACTGTAATGCCTGGCCTCTCTCTCTCTCTCTCTCTGCAAAGCTGGGGACTGAACTCAGGCCTCACACATGCAAAGCACATGCTCTAACAGCTCTGACACTGTTTTTTTTGCTGCGCTGGGGAATAGGACTCAGGTCAGACACACTAGGCAAGCTCTACTGCTAAGCTACATCCCCAGTCCCAGATATGTTCTGTTCTTTTCACACCTTCGGCTTTCTTAAAGAAAGAAAAAATATAAGGAATGAAGACAGAGGGGAAGAAAATTTTTGGAGGTGTGCCACAGTATAATCACTAACCTTCAGAGTGGAAAAAACAAAAAACATACGGGCGGTGGGGGGAAAACACCACGTGTGTAGGAAGGACAAGGCAGGGCTGGGGATATAGCTCAGCGGCACAGCGCTTGCCTGGCAAGCGCAAGGTCATGAGTTCGATTCCTGGTAACGGAAAAAAACAAAACAAAACAAAAAACAAAACAAAGAAGGACAAGACAATAGGATATGTTATTTCACTATCTTAAGTTTCTAAGTTAAAGGAAACTGTAAGGAAAAAAATCCATTATCGGTGCTCTGGCTTATACCCTGATGATTGTGCCTTACTTCCACCTCAAAAACTTGTTGACTTTAAGCTGCTAAGCAAGGTGCCCTCAACTAAAAAGGGTGGGAAGCAGCCTCTACAGCACTGTAACAGCTCTGCCGCGCATTCCTAACACTACATCACTGTGAAAGGAAGGAGAGGGTAATGCATGTCTGTGCAGTGGCCACTCACATGGCAATGTTAAAAATAATGAAACAGACACAGAAGGCCGTCCGGTAAGTCAGTGAAACAAAATCTTCAACAGTGGAAAAAGCTGAGGAAATGACCCCATTAGGTCGAATGTGGTGGCACACGCCTACAGTCCCAGCTCTGGGAAAGCTGAGGCAGGAGGATCGCTGCAAGTTCAGCTACAGTGAGTTCAAGGCCAGCCTGAACAACATATTGAGACTGTCTCAAAAAAAAATCCCAGTTGGTTTAAAAAAAAAGAAAAAAACTACACTTGTGTTTGTAATACCTTTACATCTGTGTTTGGCGAAGGCTAGATAATGTTAGGCAGCCTTCTAAATAGAATCACTTTCAAAGTGGTCATCTCTGGAAAACAAGCCTACAGCACTTTACATTTCTGTACTGCCTGGAATTAATAAAATTGTCATAAGTGAAAAATCAATAAGGCTATGTACATTTCTTAAAAAATAATAATTTTCCTTTCTAGTAGCAGTTATATTTAACTCTAACATGGTTACCAATGGGTTCTTTTCAAGGGTTAGACATTGCTATTATGATTTCACATTAACCTTTATACCACAGTTCCTCCCTGTCAAGTGCTAAAAATTTGAATCATTAAAAAAAAAAAATTAGGGGCCAGCAATTTATTTCAGCAGCACAGGGCCTGCCTGCCAAGCACAAGGTTCTGAGTTCAATTCCCGGTACCCACCCCCAAAATATTTTTCCTGTGTTTTTTTTTGCAGACAGGATCTCACTGAGTTCAGGCTGGCCTCAAACTCACAGCAATCCTCCTGCCTCAGCCTCCCCAGTGCTAGGATTACAGGCATGCACCACCACGCCTGGCTTGAGTCATTAAATTTTATATCTTTAATGATGAAGACTATGAAGTTTCTTTTTTTCTTTTTCTTTTTTTAAGTTTCCTTTCATATTCATTGTAGCTAATAACTTTTGAGTCACTGACTTTGTATTTTTAAAAATCATATTTTGGAAAATGTATTTATTATAGGAAAAAACTGTGATAAGTGATTTGTATGGCTTTCAGAGCCAAATATATAATAGCCTAAACCAACTCATAAGAAAACCAAAAACCAGTAAGGTTAATGAAAACAAGAAAACAGCACGGCCATCACCACGGAGACCTGGCATGCACAAGTGCTGTTAGTCACCTAGTCATGCTCTAACTTCAGAAATGACGTGGCAACAGCATTACGTTTTACCCCCTCATGTCCCACAGACATGGACCACATACGTTCTTACGGCAGCCATGGCAAGAAGTCTCTGTGCTCTCGATCTGCCGCTCGAGCTCCACAGCTCGGACGCCAGGTGCCAGAGCGCTGCGACACACCCCACAGACAGGTTTCTTCGGCTTCAGACATTCCTGCAGGCATGCAGAGCAAAAGCTAGAACAAGACACACAGAGAACCTCTGTCATGCATTGTGGAGACAAGACGACAAATGGGGATCAACTTTTAAAGAGACATTAATGAATAATGGATTAAAAACTTATTCCCTACTACTAAGTCAAACACTAAGCCCTTCTAGGTCAGAAAAAATTGCAAATAGGAGAGGGACTGAGAAGAACACACAGGAATAAATGCAGACTACGTTTCTTGGTGATATACAAAAAAGACATTATGGTTGAAGGTCCAAATTTTAGCTCCTGCCACTGAGGGATCTTGGTAGGGTTTCCTGAAGCTCAGTTTTCTCCTTTGTGAAATGAGGTCACAGCTGTTGTTTTTTTTTGTACCAGGAATCGAACTCAGCACCTTGCACTTGCCAGGCAGGCGTTTATGCCGCTGAGCTATATCCCTGGCCCTTCTCCTTTGTGAAATGAAGACAGCAGTCATTCCACCTCTAGGATTGCTGGGAGGATGGAGTACATATAGTGGACTCTTCCTACAGTGTGTATGTAGCACATATGAAATGCAAAATAAATGGGAACTGCTACCGTTAGAGAAAGCAAAGCACTGCGGGAAAACAAAGCTGAGTGCAGCTGGTTGCAACCCAAGAGCAGGGCTGGTAAGACTGCAGAGGCAGTCTCTACCATTCGCCTTGAAAGAGCTCACCAGCAGGTGAACAGAGGCTTATTTCAGGCCCTTAACTCTTGAAATTTATGATGCACTTGAGAGAATAAAAATCTAATAGACTTCCTCCTAAGCAGTGAGGAGGAAGATCCAAACACAAGATTTTTTTTATTTTTTATGGGGGTGGGTGTTGAACTCACAGCCTCTCACAGGCCAGGCGAAAGTTCTACTACTGAGCTACAACAAAAGGCTGAGCCAGAGGCTTAACATGTTCACGATGGGCTATCATGAAGACGAAATCCAAGTTTCAGAAAAACAACCCTTATGAATCACGGACAAAAAGGCTTTTATTTTTTTATTTTTTATTTTTAGGTGAGGCAATAAGGAAAACATTAATGACAGATAACTAAGGCAAGAGATGTGAAAGCTTGATGATGCAAATGAGAATGAACTCAGGAAATGATTCAGAGATAGTTACAATTTGGTAACTTAACTGAATTTGGAAAAGCCAGATGACAGCTTCTACCTTGCAGCTTAGTCAGGTGGTGACACTGAGACACAGTATACAGAAAGAATGGGTCATAAGGCATGAAAAAACTATGGGCTCCTTAATCTGACAGATTTTTCAACTTTGGGGTTTTTTTTTGGCTTTTTTTTGGTTTTTCTCCGGTACTGGGAACCGAACTCACGACCTTGTGCTTGCCAGGCAGGCGCTTTTGCCGCTGAGCTAAATCCCCAGCCCCTTTTTTGGCTTTTTGAAACAGGTTCTCACCATGTAGTTCAGGCTGGCCTTGAACTAAGTAAGCCATCCTCCTGTCTCAGCCTCCTCCATGCTGGGAATATAGAAATGTACCACCACATCCAGCTACAATTTTTTTGGAGATGGAGGTCTCACTATGTGCCCTAGCTAGTCACAAATTTGTGGACTCAAGTGATCCTCCAAACTCAGCCTTTTGAATAGCTACAACTAAAGGCTTGCCCCATCAAACCTGGCTCTAATCTGTTAAGATTTTAAGGCAGGATTAACAAAATCTGCCAGAACTCAGGATGTATAATCAAAGGCAATCTTCTGCCCACTTGATGACTGTTTTACTTCTTTTAGGAATTTCTTTCCTCTTTGTCATTAAACTAGATGTCAATGCTGCTAGGCAAGATTCCAGACTAGACTGGGAGGTTAACAGGGCCTATTCATTCACCTCTGAGGACAAAGTAGAAAGGAGACAAAAATCACTGTGCTCATAATGGTACATTCTAGAATGGAGTAAATCACATGTTAATCTCATATAGTGATTAAGTATATGAAACAAGACAGACTGGCTGGCATGATCACGTGAAGCTTCTAGGAAGAGGTGACATTTGAATACTGACTGAGACCTGATTAGGAAGACAGACACAGATCTGAAAGCAAAATGTTCCACAAAGATGTGCTGTGCTACCAATCACAAAGGAGTGTCTGAAGGGCAGAAAGAAGAGTGGTGGGGCTGTGATGGGCATGGCAGGCTCCACAAAGACAGGCGATGAGGTGGGGGTGGCAAGCAGAGCCTCATCCATTCTGTGCTGCCTCTTTGCAAAGGCAGATCACCAGTGTAACCAGTGAGCAGAGGGGTTACAGTGAAACCCGACCAGCATGTAGGTATAAGCAGCTCATCTAAAATTACTATGTGGTACAGCTGGCCTATCAAATGTTCAGAAGCCCCTTTACGTCTGAGTTACATCCAAACAAGTCCCTCCTCCTTTGGGGGAGGCTAAGGATCGAACCCAGGGTATTCCCACTGACTACATCCCAGCCCTCTTTATTTAAGTTTTGAAACAAGGTCTCACTAAGTCCTCAGGCTTGGGACCCTTCTGCCTCAGCCTCCCAGAGTGTGGAATTATAGGCATCTGCCACCATGTCCTGCTTCAGCAAGTCTGCTTTTCAACTGCTTTTTGGTCAGCTTTCAGTTTCTGTTTCCTCCTAATGGTTCTACTACTTCAGCCTTCTGGATAGACTACCCTGTCACAGCACTAGGCAGGAACTCCCTCTTTTGAGCCGCTAGCCATCAGCATTCTCCAGCTGTATTTGTCTAGGATACAGACATTCGGGGCTTTGAAATAAAGTTTTATAAAAATCCCATGTCTCGCCCACATCTGCAGTGATGCTCAAGTTTCCAAGCACAAGAGTTAAAAATCAAGCAGGCAGAGCACAAAGCACTTGGCTGGAGCTAAGGGAGACTTCTTCGGCCCTCACCAAGGCGCCTCCAAGGCAGAGCTGAATTCAACACACGGAGTTAGCACGGCGGGCAGAGGCAAGGCTGAATCCCAGCACTGCCCCCTGCCCTCTGTCTCAGGAAACCTCAAATCATTGTTTGCGGGCTGGTAAACTGTGCTGGGCCAACTCTCTTCCTCACAGATGTTAATACCCACCCCACAGAGCCCTGCCTGACCCGTTAATATCCTCCCAGGGCACAGAGCACTTGCACAACCGTTTGAACATTCACTAGGACTCATTTATAATCAATTCGCTGGACTGTAAACTCCGAGGGCAGAATCACCTTACTCGACCCAACAATGTGCCAAAGAGGGGGCATACAGTTGAGTGGACGCCTGGAATGTGGGGCTCAGATACTGGGCTGGGCACTGAGATACAATGAGGGGCAAAAAAGGGTCCAGTCATTGCCCTTTTGATTCCTACGTGTTGCTCCGTGCATAGAAAAGGTACGGAAGCTCCGGGAGAGGACTGAAACGCGGACTCGAAGCTCGAGAGGGGTTTGGGAGAGGCAAAGGCGAGGCAGAGAGAGCTTCAGGTTAATCAACCCGCGAAGAGGACCAGTCTGAAGCTGGAAGCGCTTCGTGGACACGAAGCAGCCAGCGTGGCTCGGGGGCCCTGCCAGGTGCCAAGCAGTTAGCAAAAAGGGTGCCTCCACCGCACTTGCGCGCAGACACACACTGGGCGAGCCCGTCCCGAGTTCAGCCACCTGGACACCCGCTGCCCGCGCCCCCCAGCTCCTGCAACCGGACGCCGTGGGAACAGCGCCCTGGGCCCCGACAGGTGCCTACTGCGTCCGCTGCCGAGTACAGGCGTCCCCGATGCCACAGCGATGCCCACGGTACACATCGAGGGAGGCCAGATTCCCTACGACCTGCGCGGGTGTGTGCGCGTGCGTGACATTAAAGCCCCTCCACTTCCCAGCACGCACGCAGCCCGGGCCCGCACCGGCACGGCAGTCCCGCCGCGGGGGCGCGCAGGGCACTGCAAGCGGGGCGAGACGAACTGCGCCCGCGAGCGCTTCCTCCCCGCCGCGCCGGCCCTTCCCGACGCACCCGCGCGCGGGCTTCCCCTTCGTTCTTCCGCCCGGGTCTCCTTCCCCAGCTCTGAGAGCACCAGGAAGCCCCGGCAGGGCCGACACAGACCCCACGCGCCGTTCGGGGGCCCGCCCGGCCCGGGACGCCGCGGCTCCGCGCTCCCGGCGGAGGAGGC